TTATTATTATTATTATTATTATTATTATTATTATTACTATCATTTTTATTGTTATTTTATTAAAACAAATTTGATTTCACAAATCATGACGGTAAGGTAAGTGTAGCGTTAAACTCAAAAAAAATAATTAATAATAAAATATAATAATATAATTAATAATAAAATAATATATATATAATTAATAATAAAATATAATAATAATAATAGTAATAATAATTTAATGATAATAATTAATAATAATAAATAACAATAATAATAATAACGATAATAAGGAAGGAAGGTGGTACTAAAATATTTTTCAGAACGATAAAAAAGAAATGCGATCTGTGGGATCCTGAATATACAATAAAAATTCAGGACCAAAATTTGACACATACCTTGAGGGAGATAATAAAATAGCTAAAAGTGTCATAGGAGAAAAATGTTAAAAGGATATATTGTAGTAAGAAAAAGGGTAACAGATGATAATATGAAATTTTAAAGAGATAATTGAATGTTTCATTCGTGTTTCCACTTCTGTTATTATTCATCTCTACATTTACAATACATACATATTTTGTAATAAATTATGTTCCCTTGAAAATATATGGTAAGTTTCTAAGCTTAAAATATGCTAAATTACATGTAACTAATTCTGTATTACAAAGTTAAATAGTTCAATTCTATTCTACCATATAATCGTTTTATTGATTACAATCATCCCATATGATGTTTGTTACTATATCATATATTTCGACACTTATTTCACTTTACCTATTTTAAATACTCCGAAGAATCAATTATTCTAAATACCAGTTCTTTCAACTTACACTGATCTACATGAAGTAGCAAATATTTTTTTAAGCCATATTATATTGAAAACATACTATTTTATATTTATGAAATATCGAGAATGAATCGATAATTGAATAATCCGTTGGGAAGGATAAGAGAAGACAAATACGATACGATGATTACGATGGTAGGATGATAATGATAAGATTGATAATGTACATTGGTAAATATGACTGGAATTTTACGATTAACAGAAATGTCAAAATTGTATTTGATATGCGATTACCATGAAATAGATTGATATGATAGCGTAGCGTTAGGGTGGAAGCTGAAATGATTATCAATTATGATCCTAATGATAATGATAAATTAGGCATTATATTAGTGGTAATGGTGTATAGGACTGGAAATGATCATGGTGATATAATTCTGATTAAATGTTATCAGTGTTTGGTAAACTGATGACTTCATTCTAATATTCCATTTCAAATTTTACTTACATTTTTCATCTTTCTCCTATTTTCTTAAAAAAATTCACCACAAATTGACTGATACTTTTGTCATACATTTCAGTTACTGTAAGACAATAATTTGTATGTTATCTCATATCTTTATCAAGAAAGTTAATATCCTCCATTAAATCATATTCTATGGGAAGATTACTGTCAATGAAACTAATTTGACCCATTGACCTCTTCCAGAAATTATTTGGTATGGGATATTAGTATAAAGTGCATTTTATGAAATGAAAGAGGACACTATAATTTTGAAATTAGAAGATATGAACACTTCTTGCTGTTCCGCAGAAAGTGTTTTTGTTTTCAATGGACATACTGTATAAGATCTCCAATGTAACAACTTCATGTGACGTGACTATCACGTCTACAGACGTGACATCCACGTTCATACTTCATGTTTCACATGCAATTGTCGCATGCCCATCCCCCAGCAACGAAGGTATGCGTGTTGTCAGACAAACCATTCCTTCATTTGGACCAGCGCCAAGTGCATTCTTTGCCTCCAGACATACTCTTTCTCCCTCTCTCTCTCTCTTCAAACCCGTTAGTGTATATATCCTCTCCTTTTCCCTCCTCTTTCTGCATAATTGCAAACACTCTTATCGCTCTCATCGTCTGATACTCTCTCATTTCTACATAGTTCAAATCGTCTCACATACACCTTCCTTCTCCTTATATTTGTCCATTTTGTTTAGCTATAAGTTTGTCGGCTATCATTCATCTATCTCCTCGCATACTTTTATCTTTTACACCAGGCTACTCTACATGTCTGTTTGTCTGTCTGTTCGTTCATCTCCATGTCTAACTGTCTGCTACATACTTCTTTCACGATTCCGCCTATTATCTTCAGTTGTCTGTTCGCGCATACTATATATATTCCTGAATGATAGGCCTAAATGTCGCGCTATAACTGGATGGCGCGCAAAATGATCGGAGACGAGCGTTGTTGTGCTATTTTATGGGCCTTACAACACGTCAGCTCATGCTTTCCCTTTCCTTCCTCTCTTTCCTTTTTCCATTCACTCTCATTTACTCACATCTCTCTGCAAGGTCATTCCATCTGCGCTTCTTTCACTCCGATGGCACTTATTCATTCGCCCAGTATATGTTTATGATGTCCGCTTGATCTTTGCTCTCATACCTTTTGCGCTTGTCCAATTCATAGATTAGTTCATATGACCTCTGAATTTGGTATAGTTTTTTCTCGATTGACCGTAAACAAAGTCACTAATTTAATTCATCCATGCTGGGAGACATTTGTTGCGTAGTGTAACAATTTGGGATATAACAAAGGGAAGATTTGTCATCTGTGAAATCTCGTCCAATCGATCATACTATGCTTATTTTCCGATTGTTCTTATTTCCAATTCATTCATGAAAAATGTTGATGTTTTCCGGATTTCTTGTTCCATCGGAATCGGAATCATATCCATTCTTTATACCATCTCTCTACTCAGTAGAATATCCAGAAATGACTTCATGACATCTTTCTCTGAAAGGAATGATAAGGCAATCATGCCAGGTGTAAATGACCTTTAGAGACAGCTGTTGATTGATTGCATCCCAATATGATTGCATCCCATTATTAGGTGTTATAACATTAACACAATCAGTTTGTTATAAACAGGTACAAAAAAAAAAAAGGAAAAAGTCTACCTAACTTATTCTAAAGGAATAAGTCTACCTAACCTATTCTAATGGAATAAGTCTACCTAACCTATTCTAATGGAACAAGTATAAGTTATCAATTCCAAAACTGTTTCCAATTTACGCTAACTTTTCATGACAATATTTTTATTTTAAAATTTTTTTTAACTAATCAGTATTTTAGTAATCTTCTATAATTACTTTTATCTTTATTGTTACATTTATACTTAATAATCCATACAGATATCTTCCCAAATCCTTTCTGTACCAATCGCTTTTTTTTTTAACAACTATAATCGATATCAAATCATTTTCCAGTCATATCTCTCTTATTTGCATAATCTGATTGCATTCATATTTATTTCCTCTCTAATCAATGATTAGAGAGAGGGAGAGGGAGAGAGATTCAATTCATATTTATTTTCTCTCTAATCATCGATTAGAGAGAGGAAGAGAAAGAGAAAGAGAGAGAGAGAGAGATTCAATGTATCTTTCTCATATTTCCTAACAAATGGAATATGTTAAATGTCATATCCGTTGAATGTTAATTAATTCAATTTTAATTTTAATTATCACTAAATTTCTCTGTTCAAATAATTCAACAGTGGTTTTCGCTTTTCTTTTTTTTTCTTCCCTTTGATATTTCCTTTTAGAGTTTTGTCCTCCGCCATACTACTTTATTTCATTCTTTTTATTTTGCCGCTATTGTACATTTCCGTATTGTAAATTCCATTAAGTCTAATTTCAATCTTCAGTTTGATTTCAATTTATATTATCTCTTCATGTTTTGTCCATAAAATATGCAGCAGATAATTGATTGCCCTCATTTTTGACACACACACACGCACGCGCACATACACACACACACATACACACATATCTTATACAGAGTTTTCTGCTTTACTTTGGTATTATTATAGAAGTACCAATAATAATAATACTAAGAGATCGTGTAATATGA